GACTCCTCCCCCCCCTGCCTTGAGCCCCCCCCCTCCCAACACCCAGCCTTGACTCCTGCACCCCCTGCCCTGAGCCCCCCACCTCCCAACACCCGGCCCTGACTCCTATGGCAGTTTCCCCCCCCCCCTGCCCTGAGCCCCCCACCTCCCATGCCCTGGGCTTGACTCCTGCATTCACACCTCACAAAACATGAAAGACACGAGAAACAGCAGGTAACTCTGCTCGCTCTCCATATTCCCCAACTCTCTCCTTTCACTGGGGCGCCAGCCATTGTGACGTCCCTTGTGGAGACCCCTGACACCCGACAGTTATATACACAATAAAATCACGTTTGTCTCTCGGTAAGCCCGGTGACAGGCCTTGTAGCACGGGGGGAGGGGCAAGGAGCCCGGCCATTTCGCCTGACTCCGGGACAGAGGGGAACAGGAGCTCACTGGCTCTGAACAGTGTGCAGAGTCGGGGGGCTCCCTGCGGTGCATTGGGGGGCTGCAGCCGGCACCAGCGTCTGTGTGATCCCGTGAAGGGCTGTGACCCAAACTCTGTGTCATGGCCAGACGGCGGCTGAGGGGTGACACTTCCCAGGGGGTCTCAACCACCAGTTGCAGTGAGAGACGCAGGAATGGTTTCAATTGTTCTCCAAAACATAGAGAAGTGTCACATTTTCTAGTACACAAAAGGCCACAAACCCCCTATTGAAAGAAAGAAAGAAAGAAAGAAAGAAAGAAAGAAAGAAAGAAAGAAAGAAAGAAAGAAAGAAAGAAAGAAAGAAAGAAAGAAAGAAAGAAAGAAATGCTGCCTCTAGACTACAAAGTTCTGTGGGAAAACTACACAAAATGCATCTCTTTTTCCGCTTTTCTTCTGAAAGAGGCTTTTCCAATAATTGGCCCTTCTACACTGGGCCAAATGTTGGGAAGAAAGTTTTTCTACTACTGTCCCCTGTGGTCAGAATAAAGACAACCGGTGCCACAAACTCGTTCTACTTGGCTTGTGTTGAGGCTGAGGTGACAGGACACTTAATTTTAGGAAAGTGAAGAGTTCCCAAACATGACCATAGGCCACTGGTCTTGCCAGAACTTTATGTCTCTTCACTTCCTTGTCAGTACAAAGCACAAACACATGGATCAGAGCACTTCAGTCCAGGATACAAGATATAAAAGCCAACGTGATTATCTTGTAAGTGTTGTGCTGGTACAAACCACTTGCTAACCAATTGCTTCTGAAGTGCATAGACTGCACACATACACAAGAGAGCATCCAGACTGCCTGGCTGCATCTAGATTTCGCATGATTTCGCGCAAATGCTTTTAATGGAAACGTTTTTCCATTAAAAGTATTTGCGCAAGAGAGCATCTACACTGGCACAGATGCTTTTGCGCAAAAGCATCCGTGCCAGTGTAGATGCTCTCTTGCGCAAGAAAACTCCGATGGTCATTTTAGCCATCCAGCTTTCTTGCGCAAGAAATTAACTTGCCTGAATACACTGGCCTCTTGCACAAGAATACCTGAGCAAGAGGGCTTATCCCTGAGCGGGAGCGTCAGAGTATTTGCGCAAGAAGCACTGATTTTGTACAGTACAAAGTCAGTGTTCTTGTGCAAATACTAGGGGCCAGTGTAGACAGGCGGGAAGATTTTGCGCAAAAGCAGGCGCTTTTGCGCAAAATCTTGCCAGTCGAGACACACCCCCTGGGTGCTCTCTTTTGAAAAAGTGGCTTGCTTTTTTGAAAGTATTGTTTGTAGTCTAGATACTCTTTTTTGAAAGAGGCTTGCCCAGATGTACAGAAGAAAGAAAGAAAGAAAGAAAGAAAGAAAGAAAGAGAAATGGAAAGGGGAAGCCAGTTGCTATAGCTGGATTGACACCCAGACAGCTAACGCACGAGATTCTAGGTGTTGGTTGGGCCCGGGGACATGAGTCTATACCGAACTGCAGCTGACATATATCAGAAGGCTCCCGTCCGAAAGGAAATCACATGTGCAGTTTGCTTCTGCTTCCCCTCCAGTGTCTCTCTCTCTGTCGCCCCTGCAGATGACCTATTCCGAGAGCGACCCCGGCAAGAACCAGACCATCTCCGATGGGTTCATCCTGGTTGGGTTTTCCTACCTTGGCGAGCTGCAAATCCTTCTGTTTCTGGTGCTTCTGGTGGTCTACCTGGTCACCCTGATGGGGAACCTGCTTATTATCCTCCTGGTAAAGCTGAACCCCTCCCTCCACACCCCCATGTATTTCTTCCTGGTCAACCTGTCCTTTCTGGAAATCTGCTTCACTACAAGTATGGTTCCTCAGCTACTGGTTCACCTCCTGGTGGAGGAAAAGTCCATCCCTATCGCGGGCTGTGCAGCCCAGATGTACATCAACACCATCATGGGCCTCACAGAATGCTGCCTCCTCGCGGCCATGGCCTACGACCGCTACGTGGCCATCTGCCACCCCTTGCACTACACCACCATCATGAGTGGCCGGGTGTGTGTTCAGCTCGCCGGTGCTTCATGGCTCATCGGCGTCTCGGTGGAAGTAGCTCAGATTACATGGATCTTCAGCCTGCCCTTCTGTGGCTCCCAGCGCATCCACCACTTCTTCTGCGACATCCCACCTGTGTTGAAGATGGCCTGTGCCGACACATCCAAAAACGAGGTCATGGTCTTGACTGTGTCAGTTGTCTTCATCATGGGCCCTTTCTTGTTGATACTCCTGTCCTACATCCGCATTCTCTCCACCATCCTCAGGCTGCCATCGGCAGAGGGGAGGCGTAAAGCCTTCTCCACCTGCTCCTCCCACCTCATGGTGGTAACTTTGTTCTATGGAACAGCTCTCATCGCCTACCTGGGGGTGAAATCTAACTCCAATCTGGAAAGTGATCAAATGATTTCCCTCATGTACACAGTGGTGACCCCAATGTTGAACCCCATAATCTACACGCTGAGGAACAAAGAGGTGAAGGGCGCTTTGAGAAGAACGGTAGGAAAGAGCACCTTTGCTCACAACCAGAGACATTAGAGAATGAAAATTACAGCTAGGAAGACGAGGCGGAATAAGAGGCTTTACCAAGTGTTTTGTTGACTTTCTCCTGATGCGTCTCATTTTTTTAATTGAAAATTTACTTTTGAAAGACGCTCATATCTTCAAAATCTGGAGAGTGGCTTCTGCTACCAAAAAAGAGAAACCTTCTGTTATCCAAACACCCGCACGTTGTCACGATCTAGTTCTTGTCAAACTTTTGCAGTCAGGGTCCTTTGGCCAGATTCAAAGCTCTTCAAAAAAATCAGACGAGAATAGTTATTCAAAGCAGTGTCCTGATTTTATATCTTTTGTTGACCTTCGTCCTGGGTCTTTCACATGCTTTTCAGCATATTGGGCTACCCCCATTCCGCAGGCTCGCTTATCAGCTGTTGTATGAGCTAAATCCTCCCATTTATAATTAATTTTTACCATGTGGTTGATAATCACACGCTCCCAAGTCATCCCAGGTCTACTCCTCTTCCTTGTTCGTTTCTCAGGCTTCTAACTGAGAGCCGTAATCGGGAGTCAGTTATGTTCCTTTCGTAACACATAGAATCCTAGAATCCCAGGACTGGCAGAGAACTCAGGCATCATCGAGTCCAACCCACTGCCCAAAACAGGACCAACCCCGACTCAATCATCCCAACCGGGGCTTGGTCAAGCCGGGACTTAAACACCTCTAGGGATGGCGATTCCACCACCTCTCTAGGGAACCCAGCCCAGTGCTTCCCCACCCGCCTCGGGAAATCGTTTTTCCTAATGTCCAACCTTGATCTCCACCACTGCAACTTGAGACCATTGCTCATCGTTCTGCCACCCGTCACTACTGAGAACAGTCTTTCTCCATCCTCTTTGGAACCCCCCTTCAGGGAGTTGTAGGCTGCTCTCAAATCCCCCCTCACTCTTCTCTTCGGCAGACTAAAAAAGCCCAAATCCCTCAGCCTCTCATCGTAGGTCATGTGCTCCAGCCTCCTAATCATTTTGGTTGCTCTTCACCAGACCCTCTCCAATGCGCCCACATCCTTTCTGTAGTGGGTGGCCCAGAACTGGACACAAGACTCCAGATGTCGTCCCTAGGCATTGATGTCTTCTCTTAACAATTATTTGAGCTAGAGGCCTCAGGTTAGCCATTTCCCTGACCTCATCATTCGTTTCGCTTTCCTCATAGCCGACTCCTCATAATCGCTTCAGCACTTGCAATGAAACTCATGTAACTTCTGAACATCTGTGTTCTTCAGTTGCCTGGGTTGACTGCCAGAGAGCGCCATGTCCACAAGGACGGCTGAGTAGACACTCCGTTTCGTATGTAAGGACACAGTAGTAAGTTTCCAAACTTTACTAAGTTAACCGGAGGTTGAGTTCACTTTGCCGATCCTTATTCTTATGTCTTCCGAGCATGTACCATCTTGGCTCATTGCGCTTCCGAGATATTTGAATCGGTTTATTCTTTCTAGCTATTCATAAGAACATAGGAACATAAGAGCGGCCATACTAGGTCAGATCAAAGGGCCATCTAGCCGAGGATTTTGTCGTCCAACAGTGACCCAGATGCCCCAGAGGGAGGGAGCAGAACAGGAATCATCAAGTGATCCATCCCCGTGTTGCCCATTTGCAGCCTCTCAGAAACAGAAGCTAGGGACACCATCCCTACCCATCCTGACTCATAAGTGTTGATGGACCCAATCTCCATGAACTTTTCTAGGTCTGTTTTTGAATCCTATTAAAGTCCTGGTCTTCACAACATCCTATGGCAAGGAGTTCCACAGGTTGACTGTGCACTGAGTGAAGAAAAACTTCCCTTTGTTTGTTTTAAACGTGCTACCTATGAATTTCGTTTGGTGACTCCCTCGTTCTGATGTTCAACAGTGATTTTGATGTTTAAGTCCATATCGCCAGTTACCGTGGTTTTCCATTTGTTTACACTGAATTGCAGTCTTGCCTTGTCTATCATTTTTTTAACTTCAAAATAGGGAAGAGAAGAAAAAGTTCCAGAAAATGGACACTTGGTTTCATCATCCAGCTTCTGGAAATGGGAGACGTCAGTAACTGCTCAAACTAGAGAGGAGTGGCTTTGCTTTCTGCCATGGGACAAGCCTGTAGCTACGATTGTGTTACACGGGATGAAAGGAAACGTGGACACTGTTCTTCACAAGGAACGCTCTGGTTTTAGGCGAGGTCGCTCATGCACAGACGCGATTTGCGCCTTAAGATAGGATATTGAAAACAGGAATGAATTTCAAGAAATCCTCAGTATTAGTTTCAAAAAGCATTCAATGGTGTAGCTAGGAATACAACGTTAGCTACGATTGTGTTACACGGGATGAAAGGAAACGTGGACACTGTTCTTCACAAGGAACGCTCTGGTTTTAGGCGAGGTCGCTCATGCACAGACGCGATTTGCGCCTTAAGATAGGATATTGAAAACAGGAATGAATTTCAAGAAATCCTCAGTATTAGTTTCAAAAAGCATTCAATGGTGTAGCTAGGAATACAACGTGGGAACCTGATCAATGTAATGACGGTATTTTACACTAGCTCCGATGTTGTATTAAAAGAGACAGAGGATTAAGTAAGTCACTTGAAACTAAGGCAGGGATCTGGCGTGGTGGCCTCCTGCCTCCGTTCTTCATCTTGCTCGTTGTTGAGTATGGCCTCAAGCGACGTAAGAATCATCAATATGGCTGAAGGGGAATCATGCGTTGAGCTATGAATCATACCTTGCTCAGAGAATGATTTTCTCCTCTAATGTTTGTGGTCAATTTGCATACGTGGCTACGGCCCAATAAGGTGGGGAGGGGGGAGGATGAAAAATGGGTCAAGTATTTACAATTTTAAGGAGAGGCTTTTTAGCACCCAAAGATGGTTGAAATGTTGCACAATTAAAAAGTAACTTGATCAAGTACAATTGTTTATTGTTTGTCCCCTCAAGACCAACACCCAACCCTTCGTGGTCTAGAACACAAATTAATAACATCGGTTGGCAGCATGTCCAGAAGGGACCATCCCATCATCTAAGCTGCCCTCGATTGTATCTCTGGCCACCAACACAAACCAGCACCCATGTCTTAACATAAGAACATCAGAACGGCTAGGCTGGGTCAGACCAACGGCCCAGCCAGCCCAGTGTCCTGTCTGCCCACATTGGCCAATGCCAGGTGCCCAGAAGGAGGGAACACAACAGGGAACCATCCAATGACTCCTCCCCTGTCACCCACTTCCAGAGAAACAGAGGCCAGAGACAACATCCCCACCCATCCTGGCTAATAGCCATCGATGGACCTAATCTCCATGACTCTATCTAGCTCTTTTTTGAACCCTGTTAAAGTCCTGGCCTTCACCACATCCCCTGGCAAGGAGTTCCACAGGTTGACCATATGCTGAGTAAAAAAAAAATTTCCTTTTGTTTGTTTTAGAACCGCTGCCTATTCATTTAATTTGGTGACCCCTAGTTTTTATATTGCGGGAATACGTAAATAACTTTTCCTTATCCACTTTCTCCACACCACTCATGATGTTATAGACCTCGATCCTATCCCCCCTTAGTCTCCTCTTTCGTCCAAGCCTTTTTAATCCCTCTTCATACGGGACCCGTTCCAAACCCCTCGTTATTTTTGTTTCCCTTTTCTGAACCTTTTCCAATGCCAAGAGATCTTTTTGGAGATGAGGCGCCCACATCCGTACGCAGTATCCAAGATGTGGGTGTCCCATGGTTGTTTCAAGGACCACGTTTGTGGAAAACATCTCTTACGGCATGTGAGAGAGTCTGACGATACTCGCCCTGACTTTGGCATGAGAATCCACCACCCGCCAGGCTGTTGCCAGATAGATTGAGCGCCTTCCTGGAGAGTAACCCAGTACCAGGGAATGGGCCCCTCACGGTGCGTGCGTATATTTCTCTGCTTCCCCCTCCTCTTGGGAACAGCCCAATGGATTTGATCATGACTACGGTAGCGGACTTGAATTTCCAGCTCTTCGAAAGCATAGAACGGCCACTAGGCACCACGCCCCCCCACTCCCTCCGATGGGTCACTATGAGTCAGCACCGATCCCAAGGGAGGAGCGCCCCCTACTGACCGACCATGCCCACCTGGGCCCTGGGCTAAGTGGTGGTTCCAGGGGCCCCCCCCCTGCTCCTTGCAGTACAGGCAGCAAGGGGTCAGCTTGGGGTCAGAGAGAACAGCACTCCCTCCCCCACAGTCAGCATGGGCCCCCAGAGAAGAACGAGTCACATGCCCTGTGCACTGATGTGCAGCGCCCCCTGCTGCTGAGCTGGGGCATTGAGATCTCCCGGCCTGAGACCGTCCAACAGAGCCCTCCTGGCCCAGCGCCCCCTAGCGCCAGGCCGGGGCATTAGGATCCCCCTGACTGAGACCATCCCACAGAGCCCTCCCGGCCCAGCCCCTCAGCGCCCCCTAGTGCCAGGCTGGGGCGTTGGGATCCACCCATCTGAGACCATCCCACAGAGCCCTCCCGGCCCAGCCCCTCAGCGCCCCCTAGTGCCAGGCTGGGGCGTTGGGATCCACCCATCTGAGACCATCCCACAGAGCCCTCCCGGCCCAGCCCCTCAGCGCCCCCTAGTACCAGTCAAGAGAAAAACAGACCCAGTGGGTAGGGCAGTTGGGTCTGGGAGCGAGGAGTCCTGGGGTCTGTGCCCAGTGGGGTGTAATAGTTAGAGCAGGTGGGGCTGGGAGTCAGAGCTCCTGGCGTCTCAGCCTGGCTTTGGGACAAGTGTGGGGCCCAGAGTCTGAGCCTCAGGGACATGGGCCATGAACCTGGGGTTTGTCTCTGCCCCTGCCCCCGTGTGTTGTGTGGGACAGAGCATCCCTCCCGCAAGACATGACAAGTGTCTCAGTGTCTCTCATGGGCCATAAATCCCAGGGTGACTGTGGTCTAGCAGAGCGTGGGACGTTAACGATGATGATGATACAGCGTCCTGTGAATTGACCGTCTCACTGCAGCCTGTTTCGATCGACTGCCAGGCAGGGCTGCGCTTCCTTCCAGGGATGCGACGCGACGTTTCCTCCAGGGACTGGGTCCCACAAGCTAGGGAGGGAAATAAAAACCCTCTTCTCTTCCGCACGCCCAGCCCCCGCGGCTGGAGCCACCTGTGGGTACGAAGGTAGGAGACCAATGAGTGAGCGACATCCCTGAACGCTCTGCCCTGACGTGCAAAGGAAACCGTCGTGTGGGTCTGAGCACATAGAGAGACATGAACACACACACTCAACCTATGTATCCCCATGCCCCATCCATCCATCTATCCACCCCACACCCCATCCATCCATCCGTCCCCACGCCCCATCCATCTATCCACCCCCACGCCCCATCCATCTATCCGTCCCCATGTCCCATCTATCTATCTATCTATCTATCTATCTATCTATCTATCCATTCCCACGCCCCATCTATCTATCTATCTATCCATCCATCCCCATACACCCCCTCTATCTATCTATCTATCTATCTATCTATCTATCTATCTATCTCCACACCCTCCCTCTATCTATCTAGTCAGACCCACCGGGCAGTCTGTCTATTAGTCCATGAATTGATCGATTGGCCTCTGAATCTATTACTCTGAATTCATCCAACTTCTCTCTCACGGGTCAGGTTGGGAGTTTGACTCGAGGGGCGGATGCTCATTCACACCAGGTGAACGTCGGTCCCCTATTCCCACAGTGCCCCCCAGCATGACAGATGGTCCCCAAACCTGCTCATCCCTGCTCCACGACTGTTGTGTGATGGTGGATGTGCTAGTGTCGGCTTTGGCTTTTCCCTTCTTTCACTGTTACTCCCCTCTGGCCCCCAACTCTCCTCCTCATCACCCCACCATGGAATCCGCGTGGCAGGGCTGGTTCCCGAGGAGGAGCTACGTCCCGTCAGCTTGGGCTGAGGTCTCCTACCCGGACTGTCCACTTCTTGCATCTGACCACAGCGTAACTCCCCTGGTGCCTAGGAGTTACGTGAGGGTCTCTCTTAGCTTCGTTTCCCCGACCCTCTTTCCACAGATGGGTGCTCCTTTGGCTGCTCTCATCTTCTCCTGGATTGAAACGGAGTCTCCGAGTTCCTTGGCGAGCCCCGAACGTCTCCCTGTACCGCCACCGCAAAGCGTCTCTGGAGCCCTCATTCCCAACGGCGACTCAATGGCTCCATGAAGCGGAACCTCACCAATCTCGGTGTAGGTTCCCCTACATCGCTCGTCAGGGAGAGCGAGCATCCCCCCCTCTTCTCCAGGTCTTTGGGATCCCGAAATAGCACTGTGGTCTATGTGTCCCTTGGGGTGCTACAGGGCAATTGTTGGTTTTCAACCTTTCTTTTGTAGGCACAGACTAACACGGCAACGCCTCCGAGACCTTCCGACATGGTGGGCTCAGGAGCATCTGTTTACTCGTGCAAGCAGATCACACATGTCTGAGCTGTAACGCCCGTCGGAGGATCTCTGTTAGCGTCACTCTTCCCGGGATGGAGGTATAAGGGAGATCGGGATTTGCCCTCCTTTGAGATATTACATTAGGTGCCTGTGGTGGTAGAGTAACGATAGATAGATAGATAGATAGATAGATAGATAGATAGATAGATAGATAGATAGATAGATAGATAGATAGATAGATAGATAGATAGATAGATAGATAGATAGATAGATAGATAGATAGATAGATAGATAGATAGATAGATAGATAGATAGATAGATAGATAGATAGATAGATAGATAGATAGATAGATAGATAGATAGATAGATAGATAGATAGATAGATAGATAGATAGATAGATAGATAGATAGATAGATAGATAGATAGATAGATAGATAGATAGATAGATAGATAGATAGATAGATAGATAGATAGATAGATAGATAGATAGATAGATAGATAGATAGATAGATAGATAGATAGATAGATAGATAGATAGATAGATAGATAGATAGATAGATAGATAGATAGATAGATAGATAGATAGATAGATAGATAGATAGATAGATAGATAGATAGATAGATAGATAGATAGATAGATAGATAGATAGATAGATAGATAGATAGATAGATAGATAGATAGATAGATAGATAGATAGATAGAAAGAAATTGTACATCTCGACTGTAAAGTTTTGAAATGCATCCACTTTTCCAAAAAAAAATTCAGAAGAGCAGACGCAGGTTTTTGGCATCCCTCATTTTACGAAAAAGAAGGGATGTTCCGAAAAAGGGTGGTTTTTTTCAACGTTTGGTCTCACATAGAATGGCCGAATTTCAGAAAAGTCTTTTCTGAAAAAAGAATCGGAAAAAGATATGCAAATTGCAGTTTGCAATTTGTGTATCTTTTTCTGATAGGACTGTGTAGACTAGACATAGCGAAAGAAAGACCCTTTTGAATTTTTAAGTAGATAAAAAAGACGACACCTGGAATGCCCCCATAGCTGGGATAAAACAATGCAGTGCCCTTAGAGTCAATGTATCCGACCCCCATCGGTTGTAGATCAGCTGTAGCTCCACTGGCGTCCAAGGGGTGTCTCTCCAGCTGACCAACCCTGGCGTAGTGGGAACGGCATCCAGACTGCGACAGCAGCTTGCCCCTGATTGCGACTGGGCCCAGCTTCATGTGTCTGCACCAAATTGCAGCAGGAGTTAGTAAGAGGCCTCCCCGCAGAAAGGAAACGAGCAGGAATTCGGGGAGCCGTATCCCGCTGTTTGGTTTTCCTGAGATTCAGCTCCAGGGTCTCTGTCGCCCCTGCAGATGGCCGATTCCGAGAGCGGCTCCGGCGAGAACCAGACCATCTCTGATGGGTTCATCCTGGTGGGATTTTCCTACCTTGGCGAGCTGCAAATCCTTCTGTTTCTGGTGCTTCTGGTCCTCTTCCTGGTCACCCTGATGGGGAACCTGCTCGTTATCCTCCTGATAAAGCTGCACCCCTCCCTCCACACCCCCATGTATTTCTTCCTGGTCAACCTGTCCTTCTCGGAAATCTGCTTCACCACCAGCGTGGTCCCTCAGCTGCTGGTTCACCTCCTGGTGGAGGAAAAGACCATCTCCCTTGCGGGCTGCACCGCCCAGATGTACGTCTCTGGCATCATGGGCCTCACAGAATGCTGCCTTCTCTCAGCCATGGCCTACGACCGCTTCGTGGCCATCTGCCACCCCTTGCACTACACGACCATCATGAGTGGCCGGGTGTGCGCCCAGCTCGCGGGGGCATCATGGGCCATCGGCATCTCGGTGGAAGTAGCTCTGTTCACGTGGCTCTTCAGCCTGCCCTTCTGCGGATCCCACCGCATCCACCACTTCTTCTGTGACGTCCCTCCCATGCTGAAGATGATCTGCACCGACACATCGAAGATTATGATGGTCGGATTCACTGTGTCGGTGCTGTTCATCTTGGGCCCTTTTTTGCTGATCCTCCTGTCCTATATCTGCATTCTTTCCACCATCCTCAGGCTGCCGTCGGCGGAGGGGAGGCGTAAAGCCTTCTCCACCTGCTCTGCCCACCTCTCGGTGGTGACGTTGTTCTACGGAACGGCCCTCGTCACCTACCTGGTACCCAAGTCTGGCTCCACCCCCGAGAGCGATCAAATGATTTCCCTCTTGAACACCATGGTGGCCCCCGTGTTGAACCCCGTCATATACACGCTGAGGAACAAGGAGGTGAAGGGCGCCTTGAGAAAAGCAATAGAGAAAATCATCTTTGCTCACCACCGGAGAAACCAGAGAATGGAACGTTGAATTCGACCACACCTCTCTGCCTAACGATATCGCCCATCGCTCTGTGCCACTCAGGGAGGAGTGTTATCAAATGGGTATGGCCACATAGCCATGTGAAGACTCTTGGAAGGGTCGGCCCATGTAGGCAGACCCGTACAGCCGCTTTACCCCACATCTGTTCATATAGGTCCGAAGTCTGCTCAGTGTGAGCAGCTACAAACAAACACCCACAACCGTGAAAACGATTCTTGACATGATCAGTGGGTCCCCCTGCCAGTGAATTCTCCAAACAGCAACTCGCTTGCTTGCCTCAGTCAACTTTGGGAGGTCTGAGTGGGTCTTCCAGTCTTGGTGCACGTGACTCTTCTTTACAGACCTTGATGCAGACGGCTCTTCTTTGGACGTAGGCACCTGGCTCCAGCCAAGGAGAAGGGATGTCTGGTCCCCAGGCAGCCTCGATTGTTTGGAGGTTGCAGCTCTGAAACCCATAACCCAGAGGTCAAGTATGCTAACCCCAATTGTGGCACTATGGTACTCAGGGCCAGATTCAGATCTTTAGAGGCACTGAGCACTGAAAAGATTATGGTTCCTCCCCAATAGGTAATTAAAAATAAAAACAATAGTATACCGTGAAATCTCATTGTTTTGATGCCCCGGCTTTGCTGGTGCCCTGAGCATGTTCTTAGTCTGTCTGTTGGGTAATCCAGCCCTGATGGTACTAGCGCCAGGTGCTCTTACTGCAGAGCAAAGGCAGCTGCGGAAGGACCCTTAGAGCGTTTTGGAACGTACACGATGGAATGTTTAAAACGATATCGGTGAGGAGGTGCGTTGACGTAGTGTGTTGCGAGATGTAGGTCAGAGCTGTAGGCATATTCAACTTCCTGAAGGGGGGTTCCAAAGAGGGTGGAGAGGGGCTGTTCTCAGTGGGGGAGATGGCTGAACAAGGAGCAATGGTCTCAAGTTGCAGTGGGGGAGGTCGAGTTAGGATATTAGGAAAAACGATTTCCCTAGGCGGGCGGGGAAGCGCTGGGCTGGGTTCCCTAGGGAGGGAGTGGAATCTCCATCCCTAGAGGTTTTTAAGTCTTGGCTTGACCAAGCCCTGGCTGGGTTGATTGAGTCGGGATTCGTCCTGCTTTGGGCAGGGGGCTGGACTTGATGACTCCTGAGGTCTCTTCCAGCTCTAGGATTCTATATTGAGAAATAACAACAAAAACCCCTTTTCCCTGAGAAACTTAGAGACCAGAGTGGCCCTCAGCAACGTGACCTAGAGAGCAGAAATTCAGCCCCCCAAAATGTGGGCACCAAGTTGCTCACACTTGTGCAAAATGCACAGGTTAGGTAAAGTCAATGGATAAATACCGGGGGGATGTTAAGTAATTGACACTAGGAAGATGAAGAATATATATTGAAAAAGAGGGCCAAGGTTGGAAAAACGCTTGACCAAAAACCAAGGGAGGAGACTATTGGACAAGACCAGGAAATTTAGGGAAGTGAAAACCATCGTGGAAGAAGGAAGGACACGTTCCTGGAACGTGGTAGTTTGGGCCTATATACCTAACTGTGTCTTATCTGTTGTTACTTGTCAGGCGGAAATTTGTCCAGGCACTGTACATGCCACTAATTCTGTCTGTAATCGTATTGAATACAGCCAAAACCGATTAAGCCATAATCTGGGAATGTGTGACTCAGTTTCCCATTGTACATTCGCAACCATCGCTCCCACAATTTGATACAACAGGGAAAATCCTACATAAATTCCCTCCTCTCTGCTTCGTTCGGTAATTTCGCCCAGGTGTGTCTCAGGCCAGCTGGGTTTGTGTGCCACGCGAAGAGTTTTGTAACTTGCGTTCCTCCTGCCCGACATGTATAAATTCACCGTGTGTGAAGCACAAGATGGCTCCCTGGGGAGTGGAGGCCTATTGAACCTATTCCCAGCCCTGTGCTGTAGGGCACTGTTAGCAATAAACTTGACGGAGAAAAACTTGACTCTGCAATTTATAAAATAGGCGGCAGAGGGCAGCAAATGACCAAGTAACAGCAAACTGGCTGCTCGATGGTATAACAGCAGTGAGAAATTAGACTCACCTTTCTCTCGCTCTATAGATAGATAGATAGAGAGACTCTGGTAGTTTAGACCAAAGCAGACTGTGAAGAACTTCAAAAAGATCTCACCAAACGGAGTGATTGGGTAACACAATGGCAAATGAAATTTAACGTGGATAAGTGTAAAGTAATGCACATCGGGAAAAATAACCCCAACTAGACGTACAGTATGACAGGGGCTAATGTGGCTACAACGATACTGTATAGTGAAATATAAGTACGATATTTATATTCAGATTTTTTAATTTTATAACTATATGGTAAAAATGAGAAAACAAGCAATTTTTCAGTATTAGTGTGCTGTAACATTAGTATTTTGTCTGATTTTGTAAGCAAATAGTTTTTTTTAAGTGAGGTGAAAGTTGGGGTATGTAAAACAAATCAGACTCCTGAAAGGGGTACAGTAGTCTGGAAAGGTTGAGCACTACTGCTTTATATCATCTTAGTGGCAGCTCTACTGCTTATCTTCAGGTTTAACCAGAGAACTAAGTATATAATGCCACAGACATGAATCTTTCCTTTATATGCATATATGTCAGTCAGTTCACATATAATAGTTTCTATATCCTGATATAAATAAGTGTATGTAAAAATGTTTTTAATTTATGTGTTCACTTAATTTTCAACATACTGTTCTTTGTTAGTCTATCTCTACAGTGTATTTTTTGCCTTTCTGTCTGTCACTCCAAACTGTTCAGAGCTCACAGTCTGATATTTAAATATCGCCTATATTAGTTGTGCTAATATAGGGCATGTTCATACAAAGCTTGAAGTTAAAGGAAGAGTGAAGTGTTCTATCAATTGTATGAATGTTGTTTTTTAATATAGTCTGTTAGCTGATAATCAGTGTTGTTCAATATGGATTAGATTAAACTACCTGGAGTTACTATGGGCGGGCGGTGGGGTCCTGCCAGGGGTGCCCCATGTGAGGGGTGGGTGGGAGGCAGTGAGCACAGGACCTAGGGTGGGCGGGTCAGCCCACCTCGCGCCCAAGAGGGGAGCCCCACCGGCCACCCTGAAGGATCCAACATCCGGTAAATCTTCCGGCACAGGACCAGGGTAAGTACCGGCCAAAGGGGGCTGAGCAGTAACACGGGAAACCTTCATCCGTCCAGGCCTGGGAAGGGCTCAGCCACACAAGCTGGGGGAGGCGGCGTCTCCTCTTGCGGGCAGGACGGAGAGAAGTTGGCGCAGGAAAGGACGCCACCTCCCCAGTGCCGGCCCCCCGGGACCCCGCCGGCCCCAGCAGCTACTCACAAGAGCAGTGGTAGCGCCTGACAGCAACTGGAGCCAAAAGGGCCCCATCGGG